GATTAATAAATAAATAAATTATTAATGATTAAAATGTCCAAATCACTCACTAATAATAACACTATAATACTAAAATCAGATTTTGAATAACTACAATAACTATAGATTCAACAATATATTAATTCCAATAATTAAAATTGTAGGTGAAGAATTGTCATATATCGGAGGAAAGCACACAAAAGCCATGGTAAAAAGAATAATGTCAAAATTATTCAAAGATGAATTATTACAAAATTATTCATTCACTGGAAAGAAAGGAAAAACCCCATTTTTTTCATTGGCGATTTGTTCGGTAATATTGAGTAAGTTTATATTTTTGTACAAACATATATTTTTTAATGTTTTATTAGGTACTAATTATAGGTAATATAAATTAAAGTCTACCTTTAATAAGGCTATATTACCATACTACTCGGATATAATTTTTATTCCCGAGTAATTTCTTGCAACAAGCATGACCAACCCTTTTTTATTTAATAATGAGTTTATTCAAAATCTGACTTGGGATTTTTAAATATTTTTAATATACTTATTATAAAGACCACTTCTAAATAATAGTACTATATAGTCTATATAAGAATAAGTGTCCTGCGTAGAATATACAAATTTCTATTTTTCAAATGGGAATTCCCGTTTTCTCTGCAGTAAATAATTTAATGGATCATTTTTCTAAGTATTTTTACATTTTAGAATCGAAATTTTAAAATTTAATTTTTGTGTGAGTAATCTATGCAGTGAACTTTTATAGGATAATAGGGTTCATGATTAGGCGACGATGAGACGGCGATATGATCAATATGTTGATTTGAAAATTGTATTGATTAATATTAATCCATATACCAATTTCATTTGTGATTAGTAGGGTAAAGGGTTTATAAAAAACAGTTTTTTTATTTTAAACAAAATAATTTTTCCTTTTTTTCAATTTTTTTAAAAATGTTTCTTTTTTTACATTTATAAGTAATAGTGTGGCGACAGTTTTGAAATTACATTAATTGTAGAGTAGGAAGACTTCCCGCTGACAAGAAAAATGCATGATTAAAAACATATATATTTTGTTTTAAACACATACTGTAGTTTAATTTAAATTGTTTAAACCATGTTTAAAACTGCAAACTCTGATAATTTGTAAAAGTTATCCAATAATATTTTAATTAATACTAGATCTAAATATATTATTACCTATATTACATTTATTTCATTTTTTTGTAATACCATTTTAAGGACTTATTTTTAGTATAAACATTTTAATAACTTATATTAGAAACTTCTTATTTGAATTGTTAATATTATCAGGTACATCAGCATTTTCAAAAAAACTATCCATTTAATAATAGTATCATGTATATTTATATTTTTTTAGAAGCTGTGAAAAAACAAGTCAAATTTAAAAATGTTCCACAAAATGAAATTGAGGAAACTATCAAATATATTTTGGCTCAAGCTCCATCCCACACAGCACATCAATATTGAATAAATATTTATTCAACATTATAAATAAATTAAGATAATTTAATAAATATTTTATTTTAATTGAGAGTATATTTTTAAATATTTATACAATGTATAGCGATCATTGAATGAACCCTTTTGCATTATGAATTAAATATTTGAAAGACAATATTTAATAAATAATAATTATTAATATTTAATTAAATATTTGAAAGACAATATTTAATAAAAAACATTATTTGATATTTAATAAATAATAAGGCAGATGATTATTAAATGTTGGTATATTTTTAATAATCAATCAAATAATATTAATAAATTTATTATAATATCGCAGAACCACTGCATTTATAATTGAATTGAAAAAAAAAAGTATACTTTTTGAATAAAGTTGTTAATAATGAAACAATAAAAATTAAAAAAAAAATTTACACTTTTTGTATTAGTAATATATTATAATAAAAACAATAAAAAAAAAAATTTTAATAATCATTTAAGTCTTTTGATGTTGAAAGGAGCTTGGGCAAGGACATACTTAACTACTTCTTCCATTTCATTCTGAGTTACATTTTTAAATTTGGATTGTTTTCTTACAGCATCTGATAAATAATTTTAATTACACTATATTAAAATTATGTACAGCAATAATATAATATAAACATCATATATATCGTCGGTGAAACTGCAATACCTCGTAAGTCCAAAATTCACTTTTTTCAGGAGACACATAAATGTGTTTATAAAATCAATTATTTTCTAATTTTGCAACAAATAGATGAAAATTATCTATACATTATAGTTATATTTTAAATATTTTATAAATTAACCAATTATTATTATTAATAATTTTATTTGTGACTTACGGGGTATTGTTTCGTAGTTTTCATAAATGTATGCGACATACGAGGTATTAAGTAGTGGGTTATTACTATAGTATGAAAAAAAATTCTGTCATATTATAATTTAAAATGTGTTCTATTAATTGAATAGACAATAATATTAAATAATATGTTTATATTATCTTTATTAATTAAAACAAATGAAAATAAAAATAAGTAAATGTACTTTTGTATACTAGTTCAGTCTTGAACATTTTCACCTGTAATTTTATAAAAAAAAGCATAATTTTCATTTAAGATTTAACATTAAAACAAACTATGTATCTCCTATTACAAGTTCAGTCTTGAACTACTCATTGGTAATTGCAGTAAAAAAAATATTAACATTAAGATTATAATATAAAACAAAAACAAAAGATATAAAATTATGTTAAGAACAACTGTCTTTCTCTTCTTTTGGGCAATGGCTAGATCACTATAATATTCATCATCAAAGTTCAGCTTATATTCTATAGTGCCATTACAGTTGTAACGGAGAGCTTTAATTTGGGTAACTGTTGCATCTCCAGTAGCTTTTCCTGGTCTTATACTATCATATCTGTTAACATTCTTCTGATAATTTAAAAAAAAAGAGATATCACAGTCTTTTATTTCATATGGAAATGGTTTTGATCTTGCAGTTTTGGTTATTTTTATGTAGTCCGATGGTAGATGAATATCTGTATTTTTTAATTTTCTTTCGATTACTGAGTGTACTGAGTCACACTCCATTTGAGTGTGACCTTTGGTCAGATATTTTTGTTCAATGATTATTTTATGTGTAACAGAAAACTCCAGTATTGCATTAGACAAAACTGTATTCTTGTTCTGGTAACAGCACCCATCACTCCATAATATTATATTCTTATTTTGATTCTTGTTGTAACACATAGATAATTGGTCAATAATACAACTTGTAAAGGCAGAAGCAGTTAAGTTACACTGAGTTTCATCCCACCAATAACACATACACTCATGGGTACCAAGATTGTACATTGTAAAATTGTGTACACATAGTTTGCATTTGTAGTACAAAGCACTAGCTTTTAAGAATGGACATACCTTTACAGCTTGTAAGTCCATGGTGAATACAATTACTTCTCCTGAAAGTGCCTTTTCTTTGTCCATTTCCTTCTCTTTCCTACTTCTATTTTTGTCCTCAATGTGTTTATTCCAATCTGGATCACTAATGTTCCCTGTTCCATGACCACAGCATTGATCACATTGATCTTTTTTTGGGGAGAACAAGGACAGATTATTTGCCTCAAAAGCATCACTGAAATATGTTCTTGATACAGGTGTTTTTCCATTTACATTACATTCATCACACATTTATTTTTGAAAGGCCTTGATTGTGTACCTTGAGCTTGTTGTGTGGATATTTCATTAATTGAACACCAATTATGTACTTGAGCTTCCCCCACACTAAGAGTATTTAAAAACATTTTTTTACAAACATTTATTGGGTCACCATTGAGTTTTAAAAAATAGAAAAGTGTATAAGTCCTTCGAGAAACTGATGCTTCAGTTTTTCTTTGTTTTACAGGAACTTTTTTGACTAACATATTAACATACATTTTCTTTTGATCCCAATTTAAAGTAGACCAGAAATGATTAAATATATTTAATCTGTCTTCGTCAGAAAATCTATGACACATTCTTTTAGATGATTTTTTACAAGAGATATTGGTACACGTTGGACCCATATCTCTAGCTTTTCTGTTTACATCATGAAAAATGTGTTTATTAGGTGTCCGTCTATAACCCAAATAACCTTTACCTTTCATACGCAATGACTGGTTAGAGTTCCTTTTCCAGTTTTCAGGTATACTTTTTTTTGCTCGTATCCTTTTATTTGTATCCTTTTCATTTTGCACATCAAGTAATTGTATGCTTTGGTCAGGGTTAAACTCCATAGCTTCATTAAAATCATTTGTTTCCATTTCATTCTGAACTTCCAGTAATTGTATGCTCTGGTCAGAGTTAAACTCCATAGTTTCATTAAAGTCATTTGTTTCCATTTCACTCTGAACTTCCATAGATTGTATGCTCTGGTCGGGGTTATAGTCCTTAGTTTCATTAAAGTCTTCTAAAAGTTAAGAAAAATAGGCATAAATCATGATGAGCAGGTTTAACAAAGTAATATTGTTATGATTGTTAATTAAAATTAGAAACATTACCATCATCTTCAAATTGATCCAACAGATCGTCGATCTCGTCCGCATTCATATTGACGCACAATAAAACAAATTACTAATTCTAAGTACCTAGTTTAATAAAATTATAAGCTTAATAATAAATTATGATAATAATATTATGGAGATACGATATATTAGTATCACATATTTTAATGATTTGATATACGATGTATCATGACACGGAGATACGAGATATTAGTATCAATAATTTTGATAGGTGATATACGATGTATTGTTTTTACATTTAGAACCTCTTTGGAAATTTGATATACGAGATATTTACACAACAGTATTATACAGTATTTTTTACCGAATATTTTGATGTATATATCTCATTTTCGACTTTTTTGGACTTACGAGGTATTGCAGTTTCACCGACGATAT